ACAAACCTGGCCAATCAATGCTTGGAGCAATTTAGTCTCTTTGCTGTACTGCTTGGAATTTGTGTTGGTTTTTTTTAGTAATACTCTGTTCACATATCAAAAGTTTGGTCAACATAGGGTAACTGAAGCCACTATAGCTCATATTTAGTGTTTGTTTTTTAAGACATTATTAGTATCTGGGGTTTGTTTTTTTCTTTCCGTTGTTTTGGATTTTTAACCTATAAATTATATATTTTGTTTGGGAAAAAAAGAAACATTTATAATGCACTATGTGAACAATAAAATGGTGTGGATTATTCTTGCCCTCCTAGAACAGCCTCTTGCCCCCTCTAGCTTTTGTGTATCACTGCTTAGCTTTGAAGTATTTTATACATCCACATTGTTTTCACCTTAATATTAATTTGCATAGCAAACCAATGGAATTAAGTCTCATCCCTGGATGCAGAGTTTCAGTAGGTATAGAGTATGGGCCCCAGTGAAGTGATTATGAACTGTTTTATATAACGCCCCCTTCCTCCTCCTCCTCTTCCTCCTCCTCCTCTTGTTTCAACTACCATGGTTGAACCACCATGACACTTAAGCTTCTAAACCTGGTTTCTAACTCAGGTTAAGGACAGTAATAAATGCCCTCACAGCATGTTGTGGAAGACTGGGAGGGGAGCTATTATGCCCATCTGTGTCCACGTTGAATCTCTGAGAGGGGTGAAGTTAGCGCCTCACACTTGCTCTCTCAGGGTAAGCGGAAAACACGAAGATTGGGAATCTCAAATCTTCTGACGCAATAAATATCCTCTCCAAGCAGCAATGAAAGCTCGATTTCCTTTATTGCTTAAATGTATTTATTGTTCACCTCTAATTTTTGTGTTGGCTAGATCTGCTCATTAACAGAACTGCTCCAGATGTGGACATCTATTGAAGAAACGATTTGAAAATGAGAAATGTTTAGACACCAGTCATGGGGTGGGAAGGGGAGGAAGTTGAAAAAAAAGTACTGGTTGGGCTGTGCTCGTGTGTGTGTGTGTGTGTGTGTGTGTGTCTGTCTGTCTGTCTGTCTGTCTTACGTGTGACCTCCCAAAACTTCCAAATTTTTCCACCCTTGGCGCTTGGTGGCTTATGAGCAAGCTACGGTACATGTTTGAATGAACCCTGGAGGTCATTTTCTTGATTTAAAACCCTCCAGGAGGGGCAGAAGTCAACCATTCTTGGTCAACTGTTTGGGATAGACCTCACCTGGATGAGAGAAGCAGCTCTCGGAGGCTCCATGAGACAGTGGTCTCCCCAGACTTCTGCTTCTGATTGGCCAGAAGTTCTTTGGAGCCAGTGATGTTATTGTCACTACAGTGCACAGCCCTAGTCCTAATATCCATGCCCAGGTATGATCATGTGGAAAGAGGATCTCTTGCTGAAATGGGGTGTGTGTGTGCATGGCCCTGAATTGGAGTACCCCGAGATGGCAGATGAGCAGCATGTGGAAAAAAAAAATAGCCATTTTATTCCATCCCATCTTCAGCTACAGAAACCAAATCATTATGGTACAGTATTAAATAATTTGGCCTGCATGCTGCGCGTAACTTTGAATCCACTGTATCTTGATGCAGTATCTATTTATTTATTCATTCATTCCTTCTTTACTTTCTCTGTCTAATCCAGGTCTAGCAGACAAGAATATCCCTAATGACTGTTCCCGTGTATTATTATATTAATGATTATTTTAATGATCCAGAACTGCTTTGCTACTAGATTTCTAGGCCTGTTATCTCTTAATAATGAATAGTATTTTCTTTCTTTTCCTTTTTCCTCCCTTTTTGGATACTAGAAATGCTAGGCAACTATTTTATTCTTGAGGTTCAAAAGTGCCAATGATCTTTGTTGTTGTTGTTTGGTAGTTTAGAAATTATTTCTAACCTTAGCAACCCTCATGGATCAGAGGGTTTTTATTTTGGGTAAATTCTGAACTTGAACCTAGAAATCGGTTTGTATTTTTTTAAACTTAATTAATAGCCTTGAGGAGGGTGGTGTATTAATATAAAAGGAACCTCTACACAATTTGGTGTACTGTAGATTTTAACGAAAGATGTAAAATATTCAGCCTTTTTTCCCCTTTGATTTTGTATTTTATTGCATGTCATTTCTCTAATTTTTAATCAATAAAAAGACTTGTCCATTATTTTTGGGAGTTGGTTTGTGTTAATATTCTGTTTTTCTGCAAATATCGCAAGTAATATACCACATAGCACCCTCTCACATGGGAAATAGGCACGTGGCATCTTATTATAAATAGCTAAATTGTAATACTTTATTTAAAAATGCTGTTGATCTGGTAAATACGGCACTGGTTAAAATCAGAATATTTAAAACTTTATATTGCCCGTTTCTTCCAGGCAGGAACCATTTAAAAGTAGCCCTCAACTTACAACTATTCTTTTAGTGACTGTCGGAGGTTACAGTGACACTGAAAAAAAGTGATTTATCATTTTTCACACTTAAAACTGTTGCAGCATTCCCATTATGATCAAACTTTGGACGCTTGGCAACTGGCATGTACTTGTGTTGGTTGCATTGGCCCAGGGTCATATGATGCCCGTTTGCGATCTTCTGATAAGCAGAATCACTGGGGAAACCAGATTCACTGAACTAACTTAACCTCAGTGTTACTAACTTAACCTCAGTGATCCGCTTCACAACTGTGGCAGAGAAAGGTTATAAAATGGGGTAAAACTCACTTAACCATGTTCTTGCTTAGCAACATAAATTTTGGGGTTAACTGCGGTCATAAGTCAAGGACTACCTATATGTACCATATTTTCCATAAAAAATAATACTTTGAATTGTACACATTCGATTGCCTGACTTCAGTAACTCAGTTGCATTGATCCAAACGAATTACTTCACGGCGTATTATCCCTGCAAGCAAAGAGGATGGCCTGCTGGGAATGTAGGTTGGAGGAATGGCACCAATCATACTTTCTTTCTCCGGATTTCCCAATTCAATAGACGCTTTAATGCTTGAAGGGGTGTGGATTTCAACTCCCAGAATTCCCCAGTCAGTATTGAAGCCCACACGTCCCCAACCAGCCAAGGTTGAGAAACTCTGCGGTAGATAGGCATGGATTGAAGGGACGATGGATGCTCACAGCATCTGGGACCCATAAGAAAACTGGAGAGAGAGGCTACTTTGCAAGCCTTTCTAGAGCAGGGGTCTCCAACCTTGGCAACTCTAAGACTTGTGGACTTCAACCCTGGGAGTCTTAAAGTTGCCATGGTTGGAGACCCCTGCTCTAGAGGACTTGCAACTCATTTGCCTCAGCTAACTGTGTCCTAAGTCTCGACACTCACGTTTTTCTTGCCTAGGGTAAATAAGCTGGAAATTGCAACCAAGCAAGGGCCTGAACGTGGCATGGAAATTGGTTCTTAAAATCTTGCCCAAAATTAGCAAATCATGGTTTAAACAAGACTGATGGATTGAGTGATCAATGTGTGATCTTCAAGACAATCTGTCTCTTAACCTTTAAGATCAATGTCTTCCAACAGTTCGGCCATCACGTATACAGCTGAATCCCTCCATTCTACTGCCAGTTGTATTTCTTTCTTTCTTTCTTTCTTTCTTTCTTTCTTTCTTTCTCTCTCTCTCTCTTTCTTTCTTTCTTTCTTTCTTTCTTTCTTTCATCATACACTCCACCACCAGGGTGCTGGGTGTTTGTAATGATTGGTTGGTTTATTGATTTATGTATCATCAAGTTGGTGTTAACTCTTAAGAATCACACTTTCTCCATAACGAAATCTCCCAACCTGGTCCTTCAGTTCCTCAATAGGCACATCCATTGACACTGTCACACCTGCCTTCCTGCTGGTTGCCTTTCCCGGCACTATATACTTCTCCAGAAAGCAGGATCTTCACATCGGTCGTTGGTGTTCACTCTAGCGACATATCCACATGTAGTGTCTAGTGAAAAGAAGGACCAGGGGTGACATGATAGCAGTGTTCCAACATCTAAGAGGCTGTTTCATATATTCTCCAAAGCACCTGAGGGCAGGACAAGAACCCATGGATGGAAACTCATCAAGGAGAGAAGCAACCTAGAACTAAGGAGGAATTTCCAGACAGATCAATTAACCAGTGGAACAACTTGCATCCAGAAGCTGTGGATGTTCCGACACTGGAAGTTTTTAACAAGAAATTGGATAACCCTTTGTCTGAAGTGGTGTAGGGTTTCCTGCCTAAGCAGGGGGTTGGACTAGAAGAACTCTAAGATCCCATCAAATTCTGTTAATTCTGGGTGTGTGTGTTTTTTAAAAAAAATTCTTGGTATAACTTCTCCAGTATGATCTGTTGCCAACCTGATTCTTCAGATTATTTCAATGGTGCACTAATTGCTTTTCTAATTAAGCCATCTCTCTTGATCCTGGTTGTCTTCTACTTCTCCAGAGAACTAGCATGGTTTTGCACATAGCCTTTAAGTTTCCTATAACATGATTTATAAGTGATGTATAAACCCTGTGACTATATAAGTTGTCCCAGGTTAGTAAGCCATCAATTATATTACATCATCAATTATATTACACACACACACACTCAAAATCCCATCACCTCTCGTTTCCTTGACTAAATTCTTCAGTCTACCACTCCTGTGAAAAACAGACCTCTCTCTTCAAATAAATACTCTTAACATTTCTGAGACTGACACCTCTCTTACTCTGAGGCTGTCAATCTTTTCCAATTTGCGTCACTTTTGACGGGCCTTTATGAGCTTTGCTCTCGTTGGCTGTCCAAGCTGCAAAGTTGGCAATTAATCTTTTACACAACTTGTGGTTGTAAAAGTGTAACATGTCATGTATTAAGACTATTAGCAAAGAGCTTAATGAATACCATCCCTGCACTTCGCTTGAGTGCCATGTCAAAGTTTATTCTGAGTTTAACCATGAATTCCAGAGGCTGTTGGGTTCCAAAGTGCTATTTGGGTAGCCAGATTAGTCAGAGGATAGACAGTAGCCGAGAGAAAGGCAGAAAGAAAACAGCCATGACCGATGTTGGGGAAATTATCAAAGCTCTTAATGATTTTGGCCGATTCCAGCATTGGCTAGTTCTGATGATCACTATAGCTTCACCCTTTGCCGGTTTTCATATGTTCAGCCAATTATTCATGGTCATTCCAGTGCCTCATCACTGCAACACTAATTGGTTTGACAACATCCACTTGAATTTGACCGAAGAGGAGAAGCTGAATTTAACTATCCCCCGAAAACCTGACGGGACCTTAGAACAATGTCTCATGTATACTCCTGTGGAAACCAACTTTGAGACCATCCTGCAAACTGGATTGAATTCAACAGAGAAGTGCCGAGATGGATGGGTTTATCCTTCCAAGCCAAAACCTTCTCTGATTAGCCAGGTTTGGGAATCTCATTTTCATCTTCATTTTCCTGAATTAAATGTTTTGTTTTTGTATAAAAACAAGGGAGAGAGCACCCCCCCCAAAAAAACCCCAAACCAATCCACCTATGATATTTGCAACAGCAGTTGTCCCTGGGGAGCTGTCTGCAATTAATAAGGAAACTAAAATTCTCCCCGCTCACAAGTAGCCTTTTAAAGATTAGACATGGAGGCAAATCTAGATTGCTGCATGGTGTTTGTTAGAAGAGATACATACATACACCAGATCACATTGTACTGATCAATTGCACCAACTGTTAGTTACTTTAAAAGTCCAGTGAATATGTTCATGTTAAGAACCTGAATTTCTACAGAACCTGGATCTCGGAGTGACTTCCATCCAATAAAGGAGAATATTTTGTAGCTCAGGGTTGAAACGAAGGGCCTTTGTTGCTCTCTGAGCTTGGTTGCTTTCTTGCAGATGTTTCATTACCCAAAGCGCTGATGAAGTTACCTAGTTTGGTAATGAAACATCAGCATGAAAACAACCAAGTTCAGAGGCCATCAAGGACCCTTGACTCCCATCTCTGTACTTCATTAGGTTTCACTAGACACGTCAACAAAATACTTCTGTCCAGGTTCCTTCCTAACGACCTATGGAAAAGTCTAAAAAATGATCTGGCCTGGGTCCGTTAATGTTTTCACATTTTCCTCCTGCATATTTGCACTATATTAAGTCTTGGCCACTTTAAAATGTCTGTTCCCAGAATTCCCCATCCAGCATGTATCTACAGATTTTAAAGTGGTCAAAAGTTGAGAAACACTTTTTGTAATCCCTTCAGGGCAATAAGGATTAGGGTATATATGTCAGTTTCCTAAACAGATTTTAAAAAAAGTTTACAGTAGAAAAAGATTCAAAATTGGGGCCAGAGCAATGTATTTGTTTGGCTAACTCAAGGTCACAAAATGTATGAGAAAGCTTTTAAACTGCCAAGAACTGTTAATCAAACATGTTTTTTTAAAAAAGACAACTATTTGTTGGGAGATTTGATAGTATGCCAGTTAGAGACTTAGTTAGAAAGTGAGAAGAGAGGCCAGAAGGATTCATTCTAGGATAAACAGCTACAAGTATGTTATACAATTTATAGCCTTACAAAGGATGTCAGGTTTTAGAACTATTTCATCTGGGCTACTGAAATTCAGATGACCTGTAGATGGCAGCAAAGAGATGCACAAAACATCTAACCCCTGGCTTCTATCTGAGGATGTCTGGGGTTAATCATAATCATAGAACAACAGAGTTGGAAGGGACCTTGGAGGTCATCTAGTCCAACCCCCTGCTAGTGTGTATGTGTCTATCATCTATCTGAATGTTTGCCCCCTAAATCGGGTAGCTTCTGTGAAGAAGCAAATCACGAAATCCAGCATTTAACTGGAAGCTGACTCAGCTAGAAACTTGCAGCTTCCTTTGTAGAAAACAAGAAATTCAACCTAAAGTCACATTGGCACCCAGATAGCTACCTGCATAGGTCAGTGGGGTTCTCCAAATTTGAGAACTTTAAGTCTTGCGGATCAGCCTGGCTGGCTGAGGGATTCTGGGAGTTGAAGTCCACAAGTCTTAAAGTTGCCAAGTTTTGAAGTCTAAATGCTGACTTCATGGTTGAAGCATCTGAATACGTGTCCCTCTGTTTTTTGCCAATTGCCACCATAGTAAACAGCCTTATGCTTGCTGGGCTATTGCTTCTCAAGATATCAGGAGAGCCAGTCTGGTGCAGTGATGAAAGTACTGGGCAAGAAATCAGGTGATTGTGAATCCTAGTCCTCCCTTAGGAGAAAATCTCCACAGACAGTCTTCCCTTAGGGCGGGGGTCCCCAAACTTGGCAACTTTAAGACTTGTGGACTTCAACTCCCAGAGGTCTCCAGCCAGCTGGCTGAGGAATTCTGGGAGTTGAAGTCCACAAGTCTTAAAGTTGCCACGTTTGGAGACCTCCGCCTTAGGCACATAAGCCAGACTTCGGGGCAGCCCCTCTCTCTCCACCTTCACCTAGACTTTTCAGTGGGAAAAGTCTAGCCCTCCTCAAGGTCGGAAGCTCCTTAGGGCAGAGATCCCCAATCTCTGGGTTGCGGCCCACCACCAGGCCTCAAGCCTTTTGGAACTGGCAGACAACTATGTGTAAGCACATCATTAATCGTGAGAGCAGTGGGTGACTCGGCATGCACACCCTCCATTCGTGTGAGCAAATGTTTGGAGACCCAACGACTTGAGAAACTCCCTCCAGGTTGAAAGAAAAAAAAAATCTCAAACTACAGAAAAAGGAAAAAAAAATTACTGCTAAATGTTGGCTTACAAGTCCAGTAGCGCAACTCTTCCTACAGCTTACTTGACATGAAGGAAAGGAAACTTTCTGTAAACAAGAAGATGTAAGGTGAATGTATTGGCCTCAGAATAATGTTGCAGGATCCAATTCACCGGGACTAGAGATGGAACAGAGCAGCACATGCTCTGCTAAGCAGAGGTTCCTGGAAGGTGCGTTCCAGCAAGAATCTGAAAGCTTGGAAGACAAAAGTTCTGTTCCCGCTGACTGACCCAGATTGGATCCTGCAAGAAGATGCAAGCTTGCTGCTTAGTCATCTGTCAGAAATGGTGTAATGTCTCCTGCTTGGGCAGGGGGTTGGACTAGATGACCTGCAAGGTCCCTTGCAACTCTGTTAATCTGTTAAAAATCTGTTACTGTTGGATGACTCCTGCCCTGCTCCCTTTCCACCAGTAGGGGGCATTGCAACATAGCTACCTATTCAAAATGCAATTATCCTCCTGCAATTTGAAATGGCCTAATGATTTAACATGTTTTTTTTTTTACCCTTTCCTTCCTTCCATGGTGTTCTGACTAAAGTCCAAACTAAACTTCCCTATGTCTTAACAGCATCCTCACAAAAAACCTGTAAGGCATGTGGAAAGAGAATGTGAATTGCCAAAAATCACTAGGGTTCTTCTGCACATATGATTTGAGAACAGGTTCAGTACAATATTTCTGGCCCTTGGCTCCATGCCATCTTAAGCACCAGGGCAAGGGTGGGATTCTACCAGTTTGCACCTATTCACTAAAACCGGTTGTTAACATTCTGAGCAGTTCAGAGAACCGGTTGTTAGAAGAAATTACTGGCCTAATCCTGTAAGGAAGGCAGGAAGGAAACATTCTGGTGTTGCTTACAGAAACTGCCTCTCCATTAACCCTTATATCATTCTTGACTTCCTGTCTCAGGAACTTTTCTGAGTTTTTTCCCCCATCATTTGCTGGTACTTTGCTTGTGTGGAGTGACCATTCAAAGTTACAGTGGCGCTGAAAAAAGTGACTTATGACTGTTTTTCACACTTACAACTTACAGCATCTCCACAGTCACGAGAGGCCAGGCAAGGAGATGCGTGCCTCAATGTGAGTGATATTGAGTTGGCCATGCCTAGCCAATAACATGACCACCAAGCCACGTCCACCCAGTCACATGACCACCAAGCCATGCCCACCAACTAAGACACACCCACAGAACCAGTTGTTAAAAAAATTGAATCCCACCCCTGCACCAGGGCTACGATTTTGGGGGAAACTACATCTGAACTACTCACCAGTATAAGAAGGAGGTTTTCTTGTGTACTTTTATCTCGTTACCATCTTAGAAAAGCATCTCTCTTATCGGTCCAACAAAATGAAAATGAAAGGATCAAAAGTAAGAAGAGATTAGACGGCTATTTATCCAGAATGGTATAGGGTTTTTTGCTCAAGCAATAGGTTGGACCAGAAGAACAAAGATGATTAAGGGACTGGAAGCTAAAACATATAAAGAACGGTTTCTGGAACTGGGTATGTCTTGTTTAATGAAAAAAAAGGACCAGGGGATGACATGAGAGTAGTTTTCCCATATTTGAGGGGCTGCCCCAAAGAAGAGGGAGTCAAGCTATTCTCAAACACCTGAAGGCAGGACCAAGAAGCAACAGATGGAAATTAATCAAGGAGAGAAGCAACCTAGAACTAAGGAGGAATTTCCTCACACTAAGAATGATTAACCAGTGGAACAGCTTACCTTCAGAAGTTCTGGGTGCTCCAACATTGTTTTAAGAAGAGATTGGAAGACAATCATTTATCTGAAATGTTATAGGGTTTGATGCTTGAGCAGGGGGTTAGACTAGAAGACCTCCAAAGATCCCTTCCAACTCTGATGTTCTGTTAAAACTGATGGTAGAAAAAGATCTAGTGGTTCACTGAGTCTGCCTTTTCAGGCTTTAAAAAGAAAATATCCGTCACATAATGGATGTGTGTTTATCTCAAGCATGTTTAAATTCAGTTACTGACGACTGACTCACGCTGGAAGTTGGTTCCAACCTGTGAAGTAAGACTGTCTAACGTTATTTTTCAACTTCCCTTCTGCCAGTTTGAGGTTGTGCTTTCGTGTTTTGTTACTAAGTGAAACATTTGTTAAGTAAGTTTTGCCCCATTTTATGGCCATGATGGTTAAGTGAATTTATCGCATTTGTTAAATTAGTAACTTGGTTGTTAAGGAACTCTGGTTTTCTCATTGATTTGCTTCTCAGAAGGTCACCAAAGGGGAATCACATGACCCCAGGGACACCGCAACCGTCATAAGTATGAGTCAATTGCCAACATCTAATTTGATCATCTTATCATGGGATGCTGCAATGGTTGTAAGTCTGAAAACCAGTCATAAATCCCTTTTTTTTTCAGTGCCGTTGTAACTTTGGTCACTAAACGAACAGTTGTAAGTTGAGGACTACCTGTGTTTAAAGGTTTCAGTTGTGTCAGTTCCTACAATCTCTCCCAACCTCAAACCATTTTTTCTTGCTCATCTCTGGACTCACTCAATCTTATCAATGCCCCTTTTATTTTTTTGCTATGAGGTCTCCAGAACTCACAAGAATTCATTTGGGGACTTATGGCCATTTCTTCCACATTTTTTATTACCGTTGTAGCATTCCCCATGGTCACGTGATCGAAATTCAGACTTTTGGCCACTGACTCCTCATATTTACGACGGTTGCAGCGTCCCGGGGTCCTGTGATCTCCTATTGTGACCTTTTGACAATGGGGAAGCTGGGTTCACTTAACAACCGTGTTACTAATTGAACAACTGCGGTGGTTCCCTTAGCAACTGTGGCAAGAAAGGCCTTAAAAGGGGGCAAAACTCACTCAACAGGTTTCTCATTTAGCAACATAAATTTTGGGCTCAACTGTGGTCGTAAACCAAGGACTGCCTGTATTCCAAATGGGGCAAAGTCCTATGTAGCATGGCTGGGACCAGAGGTGGAATTCAGCAGGTTATGACCAGTTCTGGAGAACCCGTAGCGGAAATTTTGAGTAGTCCGGAGAACCAGCAAATTCCGCCTCTGACTGGCCCCGCCCCCATCTCTTCTCTGCCTCCCATTGAGTCCCAGCTGATTGGCTGGCTCTTTTTGGTTGCCCTGCACAGGAGAACAGAGCTGGAAAGCAGGTTGGTGGGGTGGGAAAGGAATGGAGATTTTGCAGTATCCTTCCCCAGCCACGCACACCAAGCCAAGCCATGCCCACTAAGCCACAGCCACAGAACTGATAGTAAAAAAATTTGAACCCCACCACTGACTGCACCATGACTAAAATATCTACCGTGATCACGGAATGAGCTATGCTTCCTTTTTATTAAAGTATTTTTCCTTTCCTCCTTTAAGTTCTCCCTGGTATGTGACCAAAAGGATTTAATTGACATCTCCCAGTCCATCTTCATGTCCGGCCTCCTCGTTGGAGCCATGGTGTTAGGACCGTTGAGCGACTGGTAAGGCCACTGAATTAATTCCCGCATGCAGAATGGAAGGTAGCAACCTATAGAATCTTTTATTGGCCAAGTGTAGTTGGACACACAAGGTATTTGTCTTAGTGCAAATGCTCTCAGTGTACATAAAGAGAAAAGATACATTCGTCAAGAGTCAGGAATCATCAGGTCCAACACTTAATGATAGTCACAGGGTACAATAAGCCATCAAATCATACTAGGAAATAGTCAATATAAATCGTAAGGATTCAAGCGACAAAGTTACAGTCATACAGTCACAAGTGGGAGGGGATGGGTGATAAGGAGTGATGAGAAGATTAATAGTAATAATAGTGCAGACTTTGTAAATAGTTGGACAGTGTTGAGGGAATTATGTGTTTAGCAGAGTGATGGCGTTTGGGGAAAAACTGTCCTTATGTCTAGTTGATCTTGTGTGCAGGGCTCTATAGCATCTGAATTTTGGTGTTTGTGTGACCACGGAGATGCTGCCATGATCGCAAGTGTGAAAAATGGTCATAAGTCACTTTTTTCAGTGCCGTTGTAACTTCAGTCACTGAATGGACTGTTGTAAGTTGAGGACTACCTGTATTCTGAAAAAAAGGTTAGAGCAAGTTGTTTGGAACTCTTGTCATTCACTAAGCAAACTTGTGGAACTGAGGGGTTGATCTTGATTGATGGTCGAGTGTTTCTCCCGCGTGAGAAAAGAAAACTGAGTTATGACTATTTTTCACACTCAGAGCCGTTGCAACATCTCAGCGTCACGTGATTTAGAAAGGAATGGAATGGAATAGAATAGAATAAGAGAATGGAATAGAACAGAACAGAACAGAATAGAATAAGAGAATGGAATGGAATAGAATAGAATAGAATAGAATAGAATAGAATAGAATAGAATAGAATGGAATGGAATGGAATGGAACGGAACGGAACGGAACGGAACGGAACAGAACAGAACAGAACAGAATAGAATAGAATAAGAGAATGGAATAGAACAGAACAGAACAGAATAGAATAAGAGAATGGAACAGAATAGAATAGAACAGAACAGAACAGAATAGAATAAGAGAATGGAACAGAACAGAACAGAATAGAATAGGATAGAATAGAATAGAAAAGAATAGAATAGAATAGAATAACAGAATTGAAAGGGACCTTGGAGGTCTTCTAGTCCAACCCCTTGTTTAGGCAGAAGGCCCTATACCACTTCAGACAAATGGTTATCCAACATCCTTTTAAAAACTTCCAGAAGTTTTTAAATTTAAATTTACATTAGGATGCTTGACAACTGTTTCATATTTATGACGGTCGCAATGTTCTGGGATCACGCGATCCTATTTTGCAACCTTCTGACAAGCAAAGTCAATGGGGAAGCCAGATTCACTTAACAACTGCAGTGATTCACTTAACAAATGCAGCAAGAAAAGTTGTAAAACAGGGCAAAAGTCATGTCACAAATGTTGGGCTCAGTTGTGGTTGTAAGCAGAGGACTACCTGTACATGTTGTTTGCCAAGCACCTGAATTTTGATCACGTGACTGTAGGGATGCTGTGGTGGTTGTGCAAATGTGTTGTAAGTCAACACATTTGCACAACCAAATGTTTTTTCAAAGCTAGGGTAACTTTGAACAGTTGCTAAACGGATGTTTATAAGTCAAGGACCACCTGTAATGGCGACATAACAACACATTCTTCTCCTTCAGGTATGGCCGACGACCCATTGCTTTGTTGTCTCTGGTCTTCGAAGGCGTGTTGGGAGTTGCAGTAGCTTTTGCGCCCAGTTTTTATCTCTATTGTGGACTCCGGTTTCTGCTGGGAGCAGCTCTTTCTGGGATCACCATAGCCAGCCTAGCTCTGTGTAAGGCCTTAACCCTGGGATATGCATTTACGTACGGTGATTTTAAGACCCCTGGTGGCGCGGTGGTTGGAATGCGGTATTGCAGGCTAATTCCTTGCTCACTGCCAGGAGTTTGATCCTAACTGGCTCAAGTTTGACTCAGTCTTCTGTTGTTCCGAGAACGGATACGGAATCAACCAAGTGACTGATTTAATTATGCATGGGGGATGGGGTGGAATTCATGGGTTGTTTTTTATTATATGGCAGATTATTTTAAATGTCGTAAGCTGCCCAGAGCCATTTAAGTGCGAGTTGGATGGCTAAATAAATTCGCTTAACAAATAATAAATCAATAATATACATTTGATCATCTGATCACATGCTGTTTCACCAGAAGCATTTTTAACAGTATTGGCACATTACGCTAAGCAGTGTTTTGCTTAAACCAGCCACACGTAGCTTTTGCAGAGACCTGGTGGTGCAGTGGTTAGAATGCAGTATGGCAGGCTAACTCTGCCGACTGCCGACAGTTTGATCCTGACCAGCTCAAGCTTGACTCAGCCTTGTGTCCTTCCAAGGTCGGTAAAATAAGGATTGTTGAGGGCAATAGGCTGACTTTGTAAACTGCTTAGAGCAGAACATAAGTCAGCTATTGCTGTTGTGTTATTGTCTTCGATGATAATGCTGATGTTGATGATTTGGTTATACCAAGTTTTAAACAATTTATATGAAGAGACAGAAGGGGAACTCATCAAATTTGCAGACCTCTCCAAGCTGGGGCCGGGGCAAATAGCAAACTGACCTCTGATTTTTTTTCCCCCTCTGATCCAACCTTCCTTTCCAGGCACTGAATGGGTTGGCGTTGCCTACCGGCCGCATACCATCATCACTGCTCATGTGACTTTTGCTTTGGGACAGATGCTACTGGCGGGGTTGGCTTACGGTCTCCGGGACTGGCGGCATCTTCAGATTGCTGGTTCCGCCCCAGTTTTTGCTTTCTTTTTCTACATATGGTGAGTTCAGGGTTCAAAGAGCAGCCCAGCTGGATTTGGTATAAATGGATTATTATTATGATACTCAACAGTGGTGTGATTCAAAATAGTTTATCACCAGTTCAGGGGGCATGGCTTGGTGGGCACACTTTGCACAGGCACACACACTTTGTATGTGCATGTGCCTAATGCACACTTTGCGCATGCACAGAGGCGTTCTGACTCATTTCCTGCACTCCTGCGCTCTTCCTGTTGCTTCAGCAGCTGTTGCACAGCACTGTGCTGTGCAAAACAGCTGCGCTTCAAAAACAGATAATAAAGGTCAGTATGAGAGCCCAGCAGGGGTGGGTTTCGACCAGTTTGCACCTATTCGCTAGAACCAGTTGTTAACATTCTAAGCAGTTCAGAGAACCGGTTGTTAGAAGAAATTACTGGGCTAATCCTGTAAGGAAGGCAGGAAGGAAACATTCTGGTGTTGTTTACAGAAATTGCCTCTATGTTAACCCATTATATTCTTGGCAGGACTAGATTTCCTGTCTCAGGAACGTCTCTGGAGTTTTTTTCCCCCTCCTTTGCTGGTACTTTGCTTGTGTGGAGCGACCAAAGTTACAATGGACCTGAAAAAAGTGACTTATGACTGTTTTTCACACTTATGACTGTTGCAGCATCCCCACAGTCATAAGAGGCCAGGCGAGGAGATGCGTGCCTCAATGTGATGTTGAGTTGGCCATACCCCACCAATAACATGACCACCAAGCCATGCCCACCCAGTCACATGACCACCAAGACACACCCACCACTTAAGCCACGCCCACAGAACAGGTTGTTAAAAATTTGAATCCCACCCCTGGAACCCAGGCAGGCGGGCAGGCCCAACAGCAGATTGTCAGAGAGAGTTGGTTTGGTCTCAGCTGATCTTGAGTGCTACCAGCCTGCTAGAACCATGCCGAACTGATAGAATAACATCACTGGTACTCAATATCTTCCAAGTGTTGTAACTAAGAAGTATTGTGTAAATATTATATACAGGTAGTCCTTACAACTACAATGGAGCCCCAAATTTCTGTTGCTAAGTGAGAGATTTATTAAGTGACTTTTACCCCATTTTTCGACCTTTTTTGCCACAGTTGTTAAGTGAATCACTGCAGTTATTAAGTTAGTAACATGGTCATTTCTTCCCCATTGACTTTGATGGTGAGAAGGTGGCAGAAAGTGGTCACATAACCCCAGGGACACTGCAAACATCATTTATGATGAGTCACTTGCCAAACGACTGAATTTTGATTACATGACCATAGGGATGCTGCAGCAACGGTTGTTAAGTGTGAAAAACAGTAATAGTCACTTTTTTTCACAGCTGTTGTAACTTTGAATAGTAAAACTATTCAAAGTCAAGGACTACCTGTACTGACATACAGATATTCTTTGCTTAATGCCCAATCACTTAACAACTGTTCGAAGTTATGGCAGATTCCAGAAAAGTTACTTGCAACCCATCTTCAAAGTTACAATCGCTGCATACAATACCTGCACTCTTATGATCACATTTCAGCCACCTGGTTCAGATTTACAGCAGTGATTTGCAAAAGCCTTTTGCCTTTTTCCAGCAGAAGACAGTAAAAAATGCCCTTTGGATATGCTGGATGTGCTTAAATATCACTTGGTTTGCTTAATGACCATATGATTTGCTTAATGACCATGGAAACTCAGTTTACAATCGCTGTAAAAATGGTTGTAAACTTGAGTCAGGTAACATGATCACTTGCATAATGACTTCAACAATTTACTGTCAAAATTCCAGATCTAATTGTGGTCGTTGAGCGAGGATTACCTGTGTATATAAATCTGCCACAAAAGAAAGAGAGAACAAGAGGAAGAAAAGCAACTCAGGAGATAGATAAACAACTATTAATTATAATTAATTTCATGTAAAACCGCGATTTATGATTTTTGTGCTAGCTCTCTTGGACAGATCAAGAAAGAGTGGGATGTCAATCAAAAAAAAAAAAGATGACAGCAAGCATAACAAAGCCCAGCCTTTTTATTTTACATGCATTGCACCAGAGTTGGGTATTCAGCAGATTCTGACCGGTTCTGGAGAACCGGTAGCAGAAATTTGAGTCGTTCGGAGAACCGGCAAATATCACCTCTGACTGGCCCTGCCCATGTAATCTCCACCTCCTGAGTCCCAGCTGATTGTCTGGGTCTTCTTTGGTTTCCCTGCACAGGAGAATGGAGCTGGAAAGCAGGTCAGTGGGGTGGGGAGGGAGTGGGGATTTTGCAATAACCTTCCCCTGCCACGCCCACCAAGCCACGCCCACAGAACCGGTAGTAAAAAAATTTGAATCCCACCACTGCATTGGATGTGAGAGCATAAGAAAATGGAAGCTTGACCTCTTGGTGTTGACTCCATCACGAGCCCATCTCCAAAGTTAGCTCTGGAGAATGAAATTAGATCTGTTGGGGGGTCCTTGAGTTTTGTTTGTTTTCTTTTGTTTCCTTGAGTTGGAGAGATATTTTGCGCTATCTCCTAATTTGAAATCGTTTGCTTGTTTGCCGTCCCAATATTTTTCAGGGTCCTCCCGGAGTCCGCTCGGTGGCTTGTGATGAAAGGCAAAATAGAGGAAGCTAAAAAGGTTCTCCAAAAGGCAGCCTCTGTGAACAAGCAAACCATCCCTCCGAGAATGTTAGAGGAGGTAAAGTTTTTGTTTCCTGCTCCTGTGAAGTTGCTATTGCAGAGGTCACGAGGAATCAGAAATCAAAGGTGGTTGGGAACAACTTGGGAACGAAGAAATCGTTAGATGAAGAGGAAGCATTAAGAAAAAGAATGGAATTCTTGGATGGAATTGCCTGCCTTTAGTCAAAGGGTTGGACTACAAGACCTCCAAGGTTTCCATCAGCCCTAGGATCCTATTTCTATTTATTAAACCACTCTCAGACATGCATTGCATAAGTTCCCTCTGCATTATAACTTAGGTGTTTATTTATTAAGAAATGTTATATGGCCAACCAACTCACTCACGGTGATTCCAGATGGTTTATAGAAATAAAAGCCCTGAACAAAACCCACTTCCTTGGTGACAACAATCAGATTCACAGAGCTGAAGAAGATTCTTGGAGGAGAAGCGAAACGTCTTCAAAGAAAAACCAGAAAGTCCAGTTGTCTCTTTAAAAAGCACCTTTGGGACAACCATGACCTGGATAGCCATAGCACTTAGACTTATATACAGCTTCACAGTGCTTTACAGCCCACTCTAAGCTGTTTACAGAGTCAGCTGTTGCCCTCAACAATTTTGGATCCCCATTTGACCCACCTCAGAAGGATGGAAGGCTGAGTCAACCTTGAGCCCAGTGGGATTCGAACTGCCAAATTGCAGTCAGCTGGCAGTCAGCAGAAGTAGTCTACAGTACTGCACTCTAACCACTGCACCACTACGGTTCATGGATGGGCTGCCATGGATGACTGACAATCTCCATAGAAAACCAGATCAACAACTTGATGAGCTCCATCTCATCCTGAGGTCCCTAAGCCCCCTGGTCAAATCAAGTCTTCAGGGCCTTTGGGAAGAGGATCAAAGCGGGGACCATTCTTATCTCTGCAGGGATCTTGTTCCACAGGGAAGGAGCCACCACGGAGAAGGCCCTTCTTCTTGATCCCACTAGATCAGGGGTCCCCAAACTTGGCAACTTTAAGACTTATGGACACCAACTATTCTGGATGAGGAATTCTGGGAGTTGAAGTCCACAAGTCTTAAAGTTGCCAAGTTTGGGGACTTCTGCGCTAGATGTACGTCCTTAAGAGAGGGAAACAATAACATTATCTGCCTCCCTGGTTTGGTTATGGCCCTTGCGTAAATTTTTGGCTACGGTTCCTTGTCTTATCTATGATGATTCAGTCAGGTCATGGTTGTCTTTTAAATGGCAATTGGACTAAAAGAAGGGAAAAAAAGAAGACATTTTTGCTTCTCATTTATTTTATGTATTTATTTTAGAGGATTTATATAGCCACCTACTTGCTCACAGCAATTTTAGGCGTCTTACAGCCAATAAAAACACAACGTAAAAAAAAATAAAAATAAAATAATAACCCCAGCCTCCCTCGGCAACCACACATACTCGAACCAGCCATTTGATGGGCTCCATCTCACTCTGGGTTCTCCAGAGGAGTAGGCAGTGAATTTTGTCCCATTTTACAACTTTCCTTGTCCCAGTTGTTAAGGGAATCACTGCAGTTGTTAAGTTAGTAAAATGGTTGTTAAGTGAATCTGGCTTCCCCGATGACTTTGCCTGTAAGCAGGTCGCAAAGGGGGATCACGTTACCCCGGATGGTCACTAAATGAACTACTGCAAGTCAAGGACTATCCTTACGTTAGATCGGGATCTCGGAGTCCTAGTGGACAATCCCTTAAATGGGGCTAGGGGAGACATGATAGCAGCGTTCCAGTATCTGAGGGGCTGCCCCAAAGAAGAGGGAGTCAAGCTCTTCTCCAAAGCACCTGAACGCAGGACAAGAAGCAATGGGTGGAAATTAATCAAGGAGAGAAGCGACTTAGAACTAAGGAGAAACTTCATGACAGCGAGAACAATTAATCAGTGGAACAACTGCTTTACAGAAGTTGTAAATGCTCCAATACTAGAAGATGTTGGATATTCATTTGTCTGAAGTGATGTAAGGTTTCCTGCCTAAATGGGGTTGGACTAGAAGACCTCCAAGGTCCCTTTCAACTCTGTTATTCTGTTCCATTCTTAGTTGTGGTTCAACATATCTAGAGAAGTGGCTAACCAGAAGCCTGTATAGAAGGGGAAAACTAATTCCCCGAATAGTAAAAATGAAAAAGAGATATTCTCCCTCTCACTTTTATTCTTTAAATTTCTCATCTTTTAATAAAGCTAAAACCTGAACAGACATCCAACTCTTCAATGGTTTTGGATCTCGTAAGAAACTCCCAATTAGCAAAGGTGACCCTGGTTATTTCCCTAATCTGGTAAGTATGTTGTGTCTTTCATAGATGGAGTCTTGATGAAAATAACAATTTCCAACATAAAAGGGTTCAAAAGATTCACCATCCTGGGAAAAATGTTAGTCTAAAGGGGCGAATTGAGCCCATGGGTGCAATTCCCACTCAATAAAGGAATTTAAAGTGACCTTGGAGAAGGTATCAAAGAGTTGTTAAGAACAAACATGGATAAGAGACAACTCGGGTCAAAAACAAAAGGCAGTGTGAAAAATGAATTCAGAATGATCCCACAGTTTTGTTTAATGTAAAATGAGGAAGAGACAATTGGTACTGTCCCTTTGATGTTGGCCAAATCAAGAAACGGACATTGCAAGAATTCCAGAAATGCTACATTATTGTTGTAGGGTGAAATGCTATATTGTTGTACGGCCAAATCCTGGGGTTTAGAGATGCTCTTCTCTAAGACCCTCATTATTGGGCACCTCTTACTTCCCCCAAAGTCAGATCTCTCTGTACCTTTACCAAATTCCTGGGATTTCCAGGCATAATAAATACCCTGTTTTAGCATTTCTCCCATTGCTTTTTGGAGGGAGAAGAAAATAAATTTAAGGGTGGGTGGGTCCTTGGTGGTCTCTGAATTTGGTTGTTTTCTTGCAGATATATTACGACTCAAATTAGGTAATGTCATCAGTGCTAGTAAGGAATGGTGATAATGTTATTTAATTTGGGTAATAAAATGTCTGCAAGAAAACAACCAAGCTCAGAGACCACCAAGGACCCTGCAGTCCTTTTCTTCCTCCTTCTCCTCTTCTTCCTCCCCCTCTCCCCCTGCAAACCCTCCTGGCACTGATGATGTTACCTAGTTGGGTCATGAGATGTCTGCAAGGAAACAACCAAGCTCAGAGACCACCAAGGACCCTTCGTGTCAACCCTGAGCTACAAATATTCTCCTTTATTGAAATAAGATGAAAGTAGATTGAGAGAAAGATTAAGAGAGGTTTGCTTATCAAACCTCCTATTCATACCAGTTGTCCTCAGCTTACAACCACAATTGAAACTGGAAGTTCCATCCCTAAGTGATGCGGTTGTAAAAATGAATAATACCTCATTTTACATACTTTTTGCCGCAGTTGTTAAGCTAATCATTACAACTGTTAAGTGAATCACATGGTCATTAAGTGAATCTGGCTTCCCCTGTTGGCTTTTCTTGTTGGAAGCCGGCTGGGACAGTTGCAGACAGCGTTCACATAACTCAAGGACATTGTAACTATGATAATTAGATACTGGTTGCCAAGTGCTTAAACTGTGATTGAGTGACCACAGAAATACTACAATAGCTGTAAGTGCGAGGAGAAGTCATAAGTCTCTTTTTTCAGTGTGGTCGTAACTTCAAACAGTTGCTAAATGAATGGACGTAAGTCGAGGACTATGTGTATAACTATTTAAATACCTCTCCCGCAAGTTTTTCATATAACCCTAATCCTGTAAAAGCAGCATTGTTTTGTGGAAAAGGAAAAGAAAATGTAGCATTTATGAACTTTACGTTGTACATTCTCCTTTTAATGGTAACAATTTCTCCTTCCTTTCCTTTCCTTTCCTTTCCTTTCCTTTCCTTTCCTTTCCTTTCCTTTCCTTTCCTTTCCTTTCCTTTCCTTTCCATTTCTTCCCTCCCTCCCTTCTTCCTACCTCCTTTTTCTCCTTCCTTTTCTTTTCTTCCTCCCTTTCTTTCCTCTCTCATTTTCCCACCATTCTTTTATTCCTCTCTCTCTTTCTCCCCTCCCTCCATTACTCTTCCTCTTTCCTTCTTTCCTGTAAATCACACTCCTTTTTCTCCTTCCTTCCCTTTCTTTCCCCTTTCATTTCTTCCGCTCTTCCTTTCTTTTGTTCCTCTCTTTCTCCTCTTCTTCCCCTTTCCTTCCTTCCTTCCTTCCTTCCTTCCTTCCTTCCTTCCTTCCTTCCTTCCTTCCTTCCTTCCTTCCTTCTCTTAGGTTTGTCAACAGTCTGGCCTACTACGGATTAAGCCTGAATGTTGGCAGCTTTGGCCTGAATATCTACCTGACGCAGGTCGTCTTCGGGGTGGTTGAAATCCCCGCCCGGGTCCTTTCCGTCTTCCTGATGCAGCATTTGGGAAGGAAGAAGTGCCAGTCGATTTTACTCCTCCTGGGGGGAACTTTTTGCCTTCTGATCTTCGCTGTTCCCAAAGGTGATTTCGATGGAGGACGGCCAGGGAGTCCCACACTTTGCTCAGCTGTAATCGTTGGGTCGAGTAGAGGTCGATTGATGATTATTCCCCCATCCGAAATACTGCTAAATAAAAGATATAGGTGGCCCTTGACTTACGACCACAACGAAGCCCAATGTTTCCGTTGTTAAGTGAGACAGTGGTTAAGTGAGCCTCGTCCCATTTTATAATCTTTTCTCCCCGCAGCTGTTAAGCGAATCGCTCAGTTGTTAAGTGAATCATGTTGTCGTTAAGCGAATTTGGCTTCCTCCGTTGAGTTTGCTGGTCAAAAGGTGACCGGGAGAGTAACAAATTGTTATCACGTGACTTTGGGGACAGGGAAGCCGTCATAAATACGAGCCAGTGGCCAAGCACTTAAATTTTGATCACATGACCTTGAAGATCCTGCGGCGGTCGTAAGTGTGTAAAACGGTCATAAGTCATGTTTTTCAGTGCTCTTTGTAACTTCAAATGGTCCCTTTGAAGATGATTGTAAGTCAAGGACTACCTGACTTTGTAGCCAATTACTACGGGTCATATCTACAGGTGAATATAGAGTGAAGAGGAGAGGGATTTCGGGGGGGCCTATTGAATTCAGAATGTTTTTCTGTTCTCTCCTCTCCTATTTCGGATTTTCTGTCTCTTCATCTCCGGTTTTTCTCTCCAGATTTACCCGTGGTGATCACAACGCTGGCTGTCCTTGGGAAGTTTACCATGGCAGGATCATTTTCCACATCCTATGTATATTCTGCAGAGCTGTTCCCAACTGTTATCCGGTGAGGCTACTTAACCACCACAAGCAAAATTTAAGTCTAAAAGAATAACAGAGGTTGGAAGGGACCTTGGAGGTCTTCTAGTCCAACCCTTTGCTCAGGCAGGAAACACCACTTCAGACAAATGGTTATCCAACATCTTCTTAAAAACTTTCAGTGTTGGAGCATTCACAACTTCTGGTGGCAAGTTGTTCCACTGATTAATTGTTTTCACTGTCAAGGAATTCCTCCTTAATTCTCGACTGATTCTCTCCTTAATTATTTTCCATCTGTTGCTTTTTCTCCTGCCTCCAAGTGCTTTGGAGAATAGATTAACCCTCTCTTCTCTGTGGCAGCCCCTCAAAGATTAGAAGAGTGCTGTCATCTCACCCCTTTCCTTTATTAGGTTAGACATTCCCAGTTCCCTTAATTATTCACCCTGTGGTAATTTATAGCCTCCAGCCCGCTAATCGTTTTTGTTGCTCTTCTCTGCACTCTTTTCAGGGTCTCACCCTGTTCTTTTGGATCGTGGGGATCAGAACTGAATGCACGATTCCAAGTGTGGTCTTACCAAAGCATTATAACGTGGCACTATCGCATCATGTGATCTTGAACCGATCCCTAGTCTATCAAAGAGAAGAATCAGGGGTGGAATGATAAGGGTTTTCCATGACTTGAGAGGCTATCACAGGAAAGGGTGGTGACTGACTTTTACAAGATTAACAGAGTTGGAAGGGAGCTTGTAGGTCATCTAGTCCAACCCCCGCCCAAGCAGGAGACCTTACACCATTTCTGACAGATGGGAGTCCAGTCTCCTTTTGAAAGCCTCCAGTGATGAAACTCCCACCACTTCCACCACTTGTTATTCCCCAAAGCCCCTGAGGGCAATGTGTTAAAGCGAGATCCAACTGGAATTAAGGGGACATTTCCTGACAGAGAGAACAATTAATCAGTGGAACAGATTGGCTCCTGGAGTTGTGGGTGCTCAATCACTGGAGGTTTTCAAGAAGAGACCGGACAGCCATATGTCTGGGGGGTGGTATAAGTTCTCCTTCATTCTCCTATCAACTAATAAACCCAGTTCTGTGGGGCTTTCTTCACATGGACTCAACCGGCAACCAATTCTTCATTGTATGCCCATAATGCGTTTATCTCACCTCTTGCCCAGATTCCTTTAAGGTCATCTTTAATCTTTTAGGACGAAAGTAATAGATTGTCCACACACACCCCACTCAAGCTGTATTTTTAGACCTGGAATATAGCATCTAGTTTTGGTCAACGTTACAAAAAAGATGTTGAAACTTTGGAAAAAGCGCGGAGAAGAGTAACCAGGATGATTAAAGGCCTGGAAATTAAAAAGATATGAAGAATAGTTGCAAGAACTCGATATGGCCAGTCTATGAAGGACTAGGGGTGCCCAATATCTCTAAGGGGTTAAAGAAGAGGGGGTCAAGCTATTCTCCAAAGCACCAGAGGGCATGACAAACAACAATGGATGGAAACTAACCAAGGATAGAAGCAACCTGGAATTAAGGAGACACTTTCTGATGGTGAGAACAATTAACCAGCCTTGTAGTTGCTCCATCACTAGAGGTTTGAAAAAAGAGACTGAACAGCCGTTTTGTATGAAATGGTATAGGGTTGCCTGCTTGAGCAGGGGGTTGGACTAGATGACCTCTGAGGTCCCCTCCAAGCTCGATTCTGATTAAAACTGAAAAGTCAATTTTGCTCAGCTGCCAGAAGATGCGATTCGCTGACCTTGATGCTGATGGCGTAATCTGGCCAACTGCTACCGATCAGCGGAGGCTGCTCAAGAGCCGATGAATTATCTCTGACCTTGATTACTGGGGAGAGGTGAACTAATTGTTTGAATCTGAGAAACCTGAAGGCATGAGAAAGCATAAATGGTATGTAGAAATAACCCTGGGAAAGAGGGGCAGCTGAAGGAATAGGCAGATTAAAAAAAACCCAGAAGTTTATTTTTTAGACTTGCAAGAATCTGTTAATGAATCCTTGATCTTAAAGCTTAGCCGTGTTTTCTATCTGATCTACCAAGTAACACTCCCAAACAAACACTCCCATTTCAACTTCATTGTCTCTCAAGAGGCACAGGGAAAAATTGGATCAGATATTCACATTTCTGCCACAATGCCCTACCACAATAAAGTAATGCGCTTGCAATTCCCTGCAGGGGCCTCTCGTTCTCTGGGCCTGATCCTGCAGGGTTCTTTGCACAGACAAATCATTTGACTTTTCCTACCGTTTATTTTTTTTAAAATTAACATCACTAGTCCAGATTAATTGGAAGAGTAGCTGACCAGTGATGGCAATTGAAGTTGGGGGTGAAGAGAGAGGGGCCCCTCTGTGCATCACAGCATAGACCTCCTGCCTCCCCAATTGGAGCGGTCAACTATTGTTTGAGTTACCAAATCCTCAAGGGTTCAGGGAGGTCGGAAAAGAAAGTAAAGAGAGTTTATTTAGCTCTCTGTCAAAACTGCAAATCATCGCATTGCTGTGAAGGTTTTCCCACTGGCTGTTTTACAGGTGGTCCTCGACTTATGACACACAATTGAGCCCAAAATTCATATTGTTAAGTGAGACGTTTGTTAAGTCAGTTTGGCCTACTTTTTTATGGACTTTCTGGTCACAGTTTTTAAGGGAATCATTGCAGTTGTTAACCTAGTAACTCGGTTGCTAAGTGAATCTGGCTTTTCCATCGACTTTGCACGCCAGAAGGTCGCAAAAGGGTCCCAGGAACCATGCAACCATCATAAATAAGAGTCAATGGCCAAGACTCTGAATGTTGATCACATGGGAAATACTACAAGGGTTGTGTGAAAAGCCGTCATAAGTCTCTTTTTTCAAGTGCTGTTGTAATTTTGAACAGTCACTAAATGAACCGATGTAAGACAAGGACTTTCTTTGTATCCTGCCTTTATTATTTTTACAAACAACTCAAGGCAGAGAAAACATCCATTACACCCTCCTCCTCCTCCTCCTCCTCTTAGTTTCTCCTCAACAACAACCCTGCAAGATGAGCTGGGCTGAAAGAGAGGGACCCAGCCCAAAGTCACGCAACCAGCTTTCATGGCTAAGGCAGGACTTGAACTCATGGCCTTCCACTTCCCGGCCTGGTGCCTCACCCATTATATCAAACTAAGGATGTTAAAGAAGAAGAGGGGAGGGCACTTTTTCTGCCTCGAAGGCCCCCCTCTCCCATGCAAACCAGGATAGAGACAGTTTGGATTGGCAAGGGGGAAACCAACATTGGTATTTAATATGTCTTCTGCTGGTGTTTAGATGTTGGGTTCAGGAGGAGGATATTTATAGAGAAAAGCTTTCTTGCTGGGACAGATGTTGGGCTCAAAGGATCAGGATTACCTATTAAACTGGAATTAAAAAGACTTATTGCTCAACCTTATCTATCAGGGGGTGTCAAACTTGCATTATCATGTTGTTGTCGCGTGATGTTTCTTGACTCTTCCCCACTTCGCTAAACCGGGGTTGGGCGTGGCCAATGTGTGATGCATCCAGCCAGCGGACTACAAGTTGGACACCCCTGCTATATAAGGTCAACTATAACTTCAATGCTAAATTGGCACCAAATAAAAGTCAAACAGAATTCAAGAGGGGTTGGACCATTTGTGGCAACGCAATGACTCTAAGCTGATGACGCTCTTAACTCTGCCGCCTGCTCTACTTTACAGGATGCTTCTTGCAGCCATTTTGTAGGAACAGGGCCATGTTGGTCTACAGCGGCAAAATAACAGGGAGGAGGTTGGTAGCACTTTCCCCCCTTATCTATTTTATTAAAAGGCAGAAGGTTTTTTTTTTCCTGAGCTACAGCTCCTTTTAATGAAATGAGTGGGAAATGTGCTACTCCATTCCCGAACTTTGGGGAATGGGCATCTTCAGGAAACCCAGCAAAACAACGTTCACCCTGTTGCAGGTGTGGGATTCTACCGGTTCGGCCAAACCGATAGCTCTGAGGATCAGCTGTGAGCCAACTGGTTTGCTCCGATGATCAGTGGGCCCGCTTGCCCACCCAGCCTTTAATCTGTGCTTTATATCCTGGTTTTCAAGCTCAGCTGATTTGCATGGCACAGCAGATTGCAGCGTGTCAGCTGTTTAACACACAGAGATGGCTGGAGAAGGTCAGCAGCAGACGCTCTGCGCGCACACTCATCAAACCAGTTGTTACACTGGTTGAATCGCACCCCTGCCCTGTTGGGCAAAGCAACTTTTTTATTTTTATTTTTGTTTATTTTTATTTGTCAATTGCTTACAAGATAATAGGTATAAGTAAAAACATAGTTATGAATACAGGGACACATATAAGAAAAATAAAAAGAAACAATAGGACAGGGACGGTAGGCACGTTGGTGCGCTTATGCACGCCCCCTACGGACCTCTTAGGAAAGGGGTGAGGTCAATAGTAGACAGTCTAAGGTTAAAGTTTTTGGGGTTTGGGGAAGAAAAAAACCACAGAGTCACTTCCACTAGGTTTCATCCATCCTCTGTTTTGCTTCCATATCAGGCAGACGGGACTCGGAGTATGTCAGATGACAGCCAGGGTAGCTGGAATCATCTCCCCGCTGGTTGGCCTCCTGGGGAAATACCACACCTCTCTGCCTGTGGGGATCTTCGGAAGTGCAGCCGCCCTTGGTGGTATCTTTTCTCTCCTTCTTCCAGAGACCCTTGGCAAGGATCTGCCCGATTGTGTGGATGATCTGACCCACAAACCAAGGCAAGATATGTGGGAAAGTCTGCTTCAGTGGTGGGATTCAAAACGTTTTATCGTCAGTTTGATAGGCATGGCTTGGTAGGCGCGCTCTGCGTGTATGCACGTGCTTGCCAAATGTGCACTTTGCACAGGCGCAGAGGTGTTCCAACTCGCCTCCTGCAAGCCTGCACTCTCCTGGTTGCTTCAGCAGCTGTCGCGCGGCACTATTCTGTGCCGTGCAAAGCGGCTGCGCTTCAAAAGCAGAGGATGAAGGGGAATATGGGAGCCCAGGTGGGCAGGTGGGCCCAACAGCAGGCTGACAGAGAGATCTGGTACAGTCTGCCGCTACGGCTTGGCAGAACTGGGCTGAACCGGTAGAATACCACCACTGGTTTGCTTGATACTTTTATGCCTGTCTGATCCAGGAGAAATAAACTGGGTTGAGATTGTGGGGTCCTTGGTGCCATCTGGGCTTGGTTGTTTTCTTGCAGACATTTCGCTATTCAAAACTAGGTAATATCATAACCATTCCTTCCTAGCACGGATGACGTGACCAGTTTGGGTAATAAAACGTCTGCTAGGAAACAACTAAGTTCAGGGAGCATTAAGGATCCCAAATCAGTGGAAGTTTGACTTGAAGGAGATCTTCACAGCTTCTCTTTTGCAGAAAGCCCAGGCTGTGCCCATCAGACAATGCCACCTTCAGCTGGCACAACGCAGGCAGGGATTAAGCAGCTCAATCCGGTCCCACCATTTTGCACCCATGTGATGTCCGCGGGAAAGATGCTTTCATCTTAATGTCAGGGAAAAAATGGTCACTGTGTAAACCCTGCACCTTCAAGTACAGGATCAGAACAAAGTTTGAATCAACTCCACACAGATCTGATTGCAGCATCAAGAAAAAAGTTGGTGCAATCTTCCCACTTTTCAGGCAAAAATTTGCACATTTAGCTTCCAGGCAAGCTACAATCTGGCGATGGATACAAGTTGCGCCTTAAAGATTAGCAGTGGATTTACTTAAGTTTAGGCACTGCAGTTACCAAAGGATGAACTTGTATAATTAATCCTTGACATACGACCAGAATTGGGTTCAGAACTCCTGTTGCTAAGCAAGGTATTAAGTGAGTTGTGCCCAATGTTATGACCATTTTGCCACAGTTGTTAAGTGAATCGTGGTCATGAATCCAGTTTCCTCTATTGACTTCGTTTGTTGGAAATCAGCTGAAAAAAAATGGCAAAATGTTTTTTACATAACACACGGGAACTGCAACTATTGAAAATACACGCTAGTTTTGCTAAGTGTGTATATTTGTTCACGTGACCATGGGGATGCTACAATGGTTGTGTGAAAAATGGTCATAAGAGACTTTTTTCAGTGCCATTGTAACTTTGAAAGGTCACTAAATGAGCTGGTTGTAAATGAAGGACTACCTGTATTAAGTATAATGAAATCTAACTGTCTTTAAAACTTTTTTCATTTTTAGGAAGCGCAAGGAAGCCAGTGACTGCGTGGAAAATGGGTGTACAAAATCCAATAAAGACAATTGTATTAGTGAAAGGATAACATCCACACGTTTCTAAAGTCAGTGATAGATTAACTTCAGTATATCAAGGACACAAACTGGAGAAAAATTGGTAGATTTCTCTGTACTGTGAGTAAAATAGGTAAAAACCAGTGGGCTTGGTTAGAAAGTAAATTTTCACACATTAGGATCATGTGATTTGCCTTACAGGCCATAAAGTGATGAATAATTTATCATAATGGTCAGTATTTTCAATGGGACTTTTTTTGTGCTAATAATGGTCCATCTCTTCTTATTGTAACTTTTTTTTAGTTAGAATTGCTAGCTTTTTATATATAAATGATATCAGTTTAAATGCTACTTTATCATTCATGAGTTAATTCTGTAATAACATGCAAAGCAGAGAGAAAAAAAATAAAGCAGGTATAAATCTATCCAAACTCAGCTAGCAATTCTCTTGAATTCAGAAACCCTTTTCTATTTTGGAGATTAAACCTGGTGCTTTGGCATGAGGTTTTTTCTACTTTCTCTTTAAAATCTCCCCCCCCACACACACACACAAATTCAAATAGGCAATTAGCAATTGCAGAGGGAGGTGTTGTTTTTTTTAAGGGAAATTGCAGAGGAGGATGTCTCTTGCTGAAATAGGACCAAGAGTTTTTCATTTTGCTCATTCTTCACAGGTGTTCCCAATCCAAATTACCACCCTTTCACATTTTGCTTTCTTCAGTCCCGTATCTTTGGCTCTTTTTTTAAAAAAAGGAAAAGATTGTTCGTATTCTTGAGGAATTACATATTATTACATAAAGCTTCCTTTGGGGGGAAAACATTTCTTTAAAAAGAAAAAAGAAAAGGTCAATGCCAACAAAAATGAAGCTAAGAGATGCAGGTTTAGTAGCGGAAGTGGAGAAGGATATTTCTCATCATAGGAGAGAAATATCCAAACAATATAGAAAAATGGGTTTGGTTGTCCCAAGCTAAGGGGGCAACCTGCAAAAAACACCTCATGGAAAGTTGATCAGGATCAGCAGCTCATGAATGAAGGTGAACATATAAGTCCTACAATAACGTTGCAGGATCTAATCTGAATCTGCCGCTGGCACCAGAGGTTTTGTCTTCCAAGCTTGCAGACTTGTGGTGCAGCCCGTCTTCAGGGAAATTCTCTTCAGTGAGCAGTAAATGATCAAGGGCTGTCATTTAAATGATCAGTAGCTGTTGTTTAAGACAGCAGATGGACATGGATGAGCTGGGGGATGACCTTGAATGTGACAACTGTGGTGGAATGTAGGGCCAAGGAACAGCACAACCAGTAGATTGAGATGGTCAAGCTGAGAAGGTCACATTCTCAGAACATAATCCTTAATGATGCAAGCAATTGCTTTAGTGTGGCAATATTTTTGTCTATGGATGAGGAACAATAAAGGAAATTGCTCAAAAGTAATGCTGTGTGTCTTTCTTGGATTTTTTTTGAGGGGAGGGTGGGCTGACAATAATAAAAATATAAGCATACAGCTGTGTTGATGGCCATCTATGAATGGCTTGCCAGTAGGGCATCTACAACATGAGATGAATCCTGAAGGAAACCAATGGCAATTTAAGGACAATTTATAACCTGAGGAGCCACAGAGAACTCTTATAAGCTTCCTGTGCGGTCTGGATAGACCTTATCTTTTATCAAGTTCTCCCCATGAACAATATTATGGCCATAGCTTTCATTATATGACTGTGCATTCACCACAGTGAGGTTTGCAGGGACTTGTCAACGGGCTACTGGATGGGGTTACTTGGTGATGAATTAGATTCAGCTGAGATCCACCTCTGGGGTGGAGTCCTTCTGAGTCATTGTCCATCTTCCATAAATGGTACTGAAGGTCTCACAATTACATTTTGAATCTATCTCAAAGAGTAGGACGGGGTTGTACGAGGAAAAGTGTGTCTGAATTACTCCCCAGCCTGTTTAGAAGAACATCAAAAGCTTTTGAGAAGTTCAGTAGAATCACTAAGATCAGAAGAAGAATTAGAAGAACTTTATTGTCATTGTACAAGTACAACGACACTGTGATGCACCCCGGCAACTGTTCGCAATACAATAAAACCAAAGCACTTAAAAATGAAGATAAGAAAGACAGAGTACCCACGTCTCCATTTGTAATCTAGTTTGGTTTAGTGGTTAATGGCCAAAGTCACTCAGCCAACTTTTATGCCTATGGAACTAGAACTCACAGTCTCTGCTGGTTTTTAGGCTAGCATTTTAATCATGGAAATAAACTCACTCTCATTTCATGTCACATCTTCAGCAAGCCATGTGGAGATATACCAAGTCGATACCTAATGGTCTTGCCAATAATTTCCCTGCACCCTTAAGTGGTACAAATGGAATAATATTCAGTGTATCTGGCAAGAAGGCCTCCAAGTTACATCAGCTGGACTTAGAACCAATTATCACTCCTTATCACCCATCCCCTCCCACTTGTGACTGTATGACCATAACTTTTGTCGCTTGTATCCTTACGATTTATATGGACTGTTTCCTAGTATAATTTGATGCCTTATTGTACCCTACGACTATCATTAAGCGTTGGACCTGATGATTCTTGACTCTTGATGGATGTATCTTTTCTCTTTATGTACACTGAGAGCTATTGCACCAAGACAAATTCCTTGTGTGTCCAATCACACTTGGCCAATAAAGAATTCTATTCTGTTATGATATTCATGTTGACATGGATGTGATACAAGCAATTCCATCTACAAAACATCATCGCCATTGGTCACAATAAGTGATTTAAATGCTCTCTATTTTTCTTCACATGGACCATGTTGTGAAAAATCTCATCTAGATGACTCTATTATGGCTTTGCTACCTTCTGAACCATTGTTCTGGCATTCAAATGGACTCTGAATTGCATCCCAAATATTGGACCAGCTAATTGTGGTGACTAGTTGGCAAAGGGAGAAGGTTTTTAGTGACAATGCAGTCATCTGGTTGTCTAATTTGGTCTAGGAGGCAGAAGAGGGAAGCCACCAACCCGAGGTGCCTTCAAAAAGACAGCATTGACTATTTTGACCAAAATGGCCCGAAATTCTCCATTTCTCAAGTGCATGAGCTAAAAGTTGCATACCCAAGATAGCTTCCATTAATATCCCAACTCTAGATATAAAAGCAGCCCTCCGCATACAACAGTTCTTTTACTAACCATTCAAAGTTACAACAGCACTGAAAAAAGTAACATGACCACTTTTCACACTTATAACTGTTGCACTATCCCCATGGCCATTGCAATCAAATTTTCTGATGCTTGGCAACTGGCTTGTACTTATGACAGTTGCGGTGTCCCCTGGGCTCCTATGATTTCCCTTTTGCGACCTTCTGGCAAGCAAAGTCAACAGGGAAGCCAGATTCACTTAAACAACCATGTGGCTAACTCAACAACTGCAGTGATTCACTTAATGGCAAGAAAGGTTGTAAAAGGGAGCAAAAGTCACTTAACAAATGTCTCACTTAGCAACAGAAATTGTGGGTTCAGTTGTGAGGGCTACCTGGATTAGACCATTTCTATATGAGTTTCTTTTAGGAAAAGCACCTTCCTTCCTTCAGAAGTTACAAGTTTCCCTGAAGTAATTACTAGTAGCACCAAAGCATTTGCTACAACCAGTACCTTGTTCCAATTAGCAGTGGAGCATCTTATGTGCTCAAGGATAGACTTAATTCAGGGTGTGTTCCCTTTTTACTCACTCCATTTCTATTGCAACTGTTTTGGCAAAGTTGTTAGCTACTTTTCAAAAGTATTCTGTTGTATGGCTTCCTTTCCTTTCCTTTTTACTAAAGGTATCAGGAGAGAAGGAGCTAACGAGTGATAAGGCATTGGCTGAGAAAAATTCACCTCTAAGCTAATGCAATGTGTGTGTGCGTGCGTGTGTGCAAAGAGGTGCGTCTGCACACACAGGTGTTTGAAGACAACTGTGAATGAGAGGCAGCTAATTAATTGCTGGAGCCTATAAAAGTCCTGGGAGGGGCGTTTTTTCTCTTCACTTTTGGGCGCTTGGTGAAACTCTTCCAGCAGCTAACAGGTACTAACTTTTCAATGATAGAAAACTTTAATAGCTTGTGCTGCAATTTTCTTAGGGAATTATGCTGGCTTCGTCATGATATTTCTTTGAGAAAAATAGTTTCAAAGTGATTTCATTAATTGATGGTTTTTTTGTTTTTGCCTTTTCTCATTTTTTCAAATATCCCATCTTTTCTTGGTTTCTCATTTCCACAGATGGGGGGGGATTTTCTTTTTCTTTTCTTTTTAAAGCATTTTTTAACAGTATCTGTATTCCGTTTGCTCTTTATACCTTTAAATGTATTTTAAAATGCTGCCTAATATACAGTCTTTGCCACCATTTTCTGTGATAAATTTTACATGTTACTTTTAAGAATATTTGTATTTTTGCACAGACTTTTTTCATATCTTGCTTTGTCAACTGAAATGATAAATTTGGATTATTGTACATTTTTAGGGAATGTTTTAGTCACTCGTTCGTTCTACAATAGCAAATGATGTATTCCTGAGCACTTGCTGGAGTCCGTTTGTTTTTTCAGTGATGTTTTCTGGTAGTTTAAGGACACGGGGCTTTCTTAAATTATTTAAACTAAATTAATCTTAATTTACAAACCAGGTTAATCTCCGTTTGTGTAAATATTTTATCAAATATGCAATTTAGTGTCCAATATGAAGCTCAATTGTTTTACCACTTTCTCTTCGCTAAAGTTTCATCGTTTTGATTTGAAACTTTTTAAATTACAAGCCGCTTTTAGCTAAAGCGGTGTTTCTCAGTTTCTGCGACTCTAAACTGCGACTCTAAAGTTCGGTGGTCGGAATTCCCCAGCGGAGGAATTTAAATCCGCTTGTTTCAAAGTTGCCGGGCCCTTAAAAACGCCGCCTTAGTTCTGTGCTAGGAGTCGGGCGTGTTAATTTAAAGATGCTTATTCAGACAACAAGCTAAAGCAGCGACTCTCAACCGTGGCAACTTTGAGCGGACAAGTTCCTACAATTCTACAGCCACGGAATTGAAGTCCGCTCGCTTTAAATTTTTGCCGAGGTTGAAAAGCGTTGCTTTTGCGGCTATGCTAAAAACTGCATGCAATTTAAAGCGCAGATAACCAGTTAAAGCAGCAGTGCTTCTCAGTTTTGGCAACGGTAAAATGAGCGGACTTAGAATTTCATAGCTATGGAATTGAATTCCACGCATTTTCCGTCTTGCTTCCTTGCGCTCTCTTTCTCTTACTTATTGCTTTATTGTTGCTGATTTTGTTTAAATTTTAATTTCAGGGTCTCATTTAACAACCTACATTGAAACTGACAATGCCAAGATTTGGAGACGTTTTGAAGATGATCGGGGAGTTTGGGGCGTTTCAGAAATTTTTGGTGTTGCTCCTCTGCATCCCTAGTTTCTTAACACCATTTCACATGTTTGGTCAAATGTTTATAAGCGTGAATGATGTCCCTCACTATTGTAACACTAGCTGGATCCAGGCAATTAGCCCCAACCTAACTTTTCAACAGAGGCTGAATCTGACCATCCCCAAGAGAACGGATGATTCTCTGGATGAATGTTCTAGATTCACTCCGGTCGATTTGGACATTGAAACGATCATGAAATACGGGCTCAATTCCACACAGACCTGCGAACAGGGATGGGTGTATCCAACAATGAAAGTTCCAACTTTGGTCACAGAGGTACGTGCTGGTACTGCGTTCCTTTTAAATGCAGAATGGTTCTGTTCCTGAAATCTTGACAATTGCATCATCTCCTTCAAAGCAATGGATGGAATCGTTGCAGCTTTCCCGTTACTCTAGAATGGTGGCTGGGGAATTAAGGAAGCTAACTAAACATAATTTTATCTCTCCCCCCCCCTGCCCCCACTTTAGTTTGATCTAGTCTGTGACCGGAGGGACTTATGCGACATATCCCAATCTATTTTTATGGGTGGTCTCTTGGCCGGATCGCTGATCTTCAGTTCCCTGAGTGACAGGTAAGATATCTCACACACAGAAGCTGTTGCTGGAGTTTGACGGGGTGGTTTAGCAGTTTATGCAAGGTATCACAAAAAAGTTCAAGGCCTGCAATCCATGCCCTTGCCTTTTTTTTTTGTTGTTTACACAAGTTGCACATCTGGTTATCTGTTTCCCCACCTTAGTCCT